TGATACCTTATTGATAGGTACGAATGCCTTGACCGAACTTGGTATCTCCCTTCAATTATCACCGAGCCCTCACCAGAAGATGGGTGTGATAGGCGATTTACGTCCCGACGCGGCGTATTCGGATAGGAGGGTAGTTGTTGCACCGGGAAAGGTTGCTACCGTAGCACTTCGCGGGGGTTTCCGCAATGGAGCTTGCGTTTTCTGGTCTAAGAGCCCTCGCATCGAGTCAGGTATATGCCAAGTGAATCAAGGTAAAGCCGAACTATCGGTCATAAATCAAGGTACTGAATCATGGGTGATAGGTAGAGGCGAAGATCTTGGTAGTTGGTCAGCGGAAACTTGGGTTGACCCAAGGACAGCAGATGTCCCGAGTGACATGATGGTCCTACATCAGCATGCTATGCTTCAAGATGCTGAAAGAATCCGTGTTCCTGGTAGACATACTGAATAAAAATCGGAGGGCTGGAAGCATACCTGATGAACTTCGTGCAGTAATTGAAGAATACAGCGACGTATTCGCTATTTCGGATAAGGAGCTGACGCAAACAAATTTAGTGACCCACGACATTGATGTAGGTGGACATTCACCGATTCGACAGAAAACAAGACCTGTCCCATACGGAATTCGTACTGAGGTAGACGCAATGTTACGGGATCTCAAGGAAAGAAATGTGATTGAGGATAGTCAGTCACCATGGGCATCACCCATAGTCCTTGTGGCCAAGAAAGACGGTACCACAAGGCTATGTGTGGACTATAGGGAAGTGAATAAGGTGACCAAGAAAGATAGCTTATCCTTTGCCTCCCATAGATATTACCTTGCAAAATCTACAAGGCAAGCGATGGTTCACTTCCCTGGATTTAGCTAGTGGATATTGGCAGGTTCCCTTAACCGAACGGGCAAAGGAAATCAGTGCATTCACTACTACCTCTGGACAATTTCAGTTTCGAGTGTTACCTTTCGGACTGACTACAGCACCGGCTAAGTTCCAAAGATTAATGGACAAGGTGTTGGGCGATTTAATTGGGCCAGAAGTCTCAGTATACATAGATGACATACTGATCGCTACAGATTCAATACATAGGCATGTAGATATCCTGCGTAAGGTACTGTTAGCGTTCCGGCAAGCGCAACTGAAGGTCAAACCGCAGAAGTGTCGTTTAATGGAACCTAGCCTTGAGTTTCTTGGACATGTAGTGGATGCTAGCGGAGTAAGAGCAGACCCTGAAAAAGTTTCTCGGATCAGAGATTATGCGCGTCCTCAAAATGTTGCTCAGTTAAGAACATTTCTTGGCATGGCCGGATATTACCGAAAGTTTGTTTTGAAATTTTCCCAGATTTCAAAACCACTTTTTGAACTTACCAGCCCAAAAAGGAATTTCTTATGGCTACATGAACACGATGAAGCTTTTGAAGCACTGAAAAAGACCCTTATGGAGGCTCCTGTACTTGGTGCAACCCAATATCGAAAAGCGAGGGATGGATCTCGACCCTTCATTATCTTATACTGACGCCAGCAGAATAGGAATTGGTGCGGTTCTTAGCACAAGAAGGAGATGACTCGCTGTTACATCCCGTATTCTTTGCTTCCAAGCATTTGACTGGCGCGGAAAAGAATTACCACGTCACCGATCAGGAAGCGCTTGCTCTGATTTTTAGCCTCAAGAAGTTCCACTACTTCATATATGGCGTACCGAGTATTATCAGAACTGACCACTCGGCGCTCACTTCACTATTTAAGCGTACTAATGTCTCCCCACGTGTTTTACGTTGGGCGTTAGAGGTACAGCGTTACGATCTAACTATAGAGTACGTAAAAGGAACAGCAAATGCGGTAGCGGATGCGTTATCTCGTGGTCTACCTCACTCGTTGACGTTGACTCCTGGCTATGCGGAAGACGAAAAAGTAGTCTGCGCAGTTCGTGAGCATGAGTGGCTTCTAGAACTTCGTCAGGACCCTGACTTTGCAGCGTTAATAAAGTCCATAGAAAGTGGGTTGATTGAAGAAATAAAACTTCCCAGGCATATAAAGGTCCTCAGCACTACCGATTTCGTTTTACAGAACGGGAGCTTGAGCCTCATAAATGAGAATGGCTCATTGGCTGCCGTGGTACCACGCTCACAAAGGCTGAAAATATTTGAGGAAGCTCATTCTGGCATTCTAGGTGGCCATTTCAACGCTAAAAAAATGTATATGCAGATGAAAAAGTCTCTTTTTTGGCCGGGAATGCTTCAAGATCTAGTCAGCTGGTGTCGCAGCTGTCAAAGATGCTTTCTGACAAACAGAATGGCAGAAAACATACCACCTTTACGCCCCCTACAAGTCGCAAGACCACTGCAAATTGTTGGTGTGGATCTCCTTGAAATGGGCCTAACAACGCAGGGGAACCGTTATGTGGTAACTGTTATCGACCATTTCACTAAATATCTTGGTGCATATGCAGTTCCAGACAAAAGGGCGGAAACGGTGCGGAAGCCATTTTTAGCAATTGGGTTTGTGGTGCCGGAAGATGGCCCGAAATGCTTCTTTCTGACCGTGGAGGTGAATTCGAAAACGAGATTGTAACCGCTCTTTGCCAGGTTATGGGAATCGAGCAAAAATTCACAAAAGGTTACTGCCCTCGAGAGAATGGGTTGACGGAAAGGGTCAACGGCACCATTGTCAGAATGCTCAAAAAGAAGACCGAGGTAGCAGCGGAATGGGATAGAATTCTGCCCACAGCGGTATATGCTTATAACGCTTCCCCGCACGGTGCGACAGGAGAAAGCCCCCATTTTTTACTGTACGGTTATGATCCAGTGTACCCCTTCAATGTTGATTCCCTCCAAACATCTATCACCTTATATCGTGGATTACGATAAGTATAAAACAGAACTGCTCTGCGGACTGAAATTGGCACGAGAATGCATAAATGAAAACGCTAAGGATTATCGCGAAAAGATGAAGCTAGCTTACGATAAGAGGTATAAAACAGCCAAATCCACTGTTTTTAGGACTGGGGACAGAGTCTATATGAAGCTCCCTGCGGAGAAAAGAAAGTCGCGGCACCCTAAATTAGTTATGGACTGGTCCGGTCCTTTTCGAGTAATTGAAGCAAGTGCTAATTCCGCATTAGTAACTTTGATTGGAGAAAATAAGGAACCGGTACGGGTCCAATTCGATCATTTAGTTAAGGTGCCTAAAGAACTAGGCGACAACGTAATCGTTGGGGCCACAGCACGCACCACGCGTGGTAGAAAGAAAAATGTCTTAAAGATAAATAGGATTTTGTCTATTAATAACTTTGATTTCAGCTCCACGCTCTCGTCGCCAAACAACGTAAGAGATGTCGATTTCCAGTGCCCTGGAGAGATCGAGGTCAATGGTCAACGAATGGCATGCGCAGTGAAAGTACCAATTGGAGAACTGCTACCGAATTCACCATTGACATCATGTACTTTCGATTCGTTGTTTGAACTTGCCCGTATGACTGCAGTAACTACGCAGTCCCACGTTCCCGAGAATTTCCGGCTAGCCCGTCTTTTGGACAAATCTTACGATCTCATTACCCCATCATCCTTGGGATTCGCGATCAGCTTTTATCGCAGCAGATGTCTTCATGCTGCCCTCGCAAGCGCTGCGGATGCAGGCGCCATTGTGCCGGGTTTTCCGCCAAGAAGTAGTATGGATCCATATAATCTCCCTCAAATGTACGATGAGGCTAGTCGATATGCTAACGAACATCCATGGAAACCAAACAGCTGGATGGCAATAAAAACTCGTCGAGTGCTGCTGCTACTTCCGGAAGGATTTGAGAGTGTTCTACAAGGTTTCGAGTCGGTCTTTATGACGGCTAAATCAGTTATTACGCCGGAGGATTTCCAACCCGACTGGTTCGCGGAGGAATGGTCCGCAATCGTGCTGGTCTCATCCGGACATTTCGCGGACGTACAGCGTTGGAGATACGCCTGGTTTCTTTTGGTGAAAGCTATCTTCAAGAGGAGCGGAAGTCGTACTACTCCCTGGGCCGCAGGATGATAGCGACTGGACAAAGTCGTCGACATGCTCCGTGATCTCGCGGAAGAAACTATCGCACAGAGACCTAGCCTCAAAAACCGACTCCGATGCCTTCTGCCCACGAAGTCACAGAACAACATGATTGACGCCCCTTTTAAAATTTTGGCAGACAAGATCAATCTGGTGACAGGGCGCCACTTCACGCAAAGCGCCGCAAAAAGATTTTGGACGGCGACTCTTCGTCAGCACAGTGCAGTCTTGCGACTGCCACAGTTTAAGCGGTTACCGGAGCCGAAGAAATTCGCGGAACACGACAGTAAAAGGCACAACGTCATCACTCAGCATAATCGGCAATCGAGAACTCACAGAGCACCATCGGACAGCTTCAAAAGGAGCCGTTCTTTTTCGCGTCCAAGCCTCAGTTCGCCTTCTTTTGCCAGGGACTATAGGCGCTCTTTTCGCGACAGCCGTGGGAGGCGAGGCCGTGCTCCCCAGTAGCGCAGTGGAAGCGCTTGATTTTTTTTAAGGGGGGGGGCATGTAGTGTATGGGATCCAGCACCAGCGGATAGCCGGTCGAGGCTAGTCGCTGGTAGCGATCGTACCTGCGGGCATGCCGTATCCCCGGGTTACGCACAAGACATAGTAGCCAGAGGTAAGCCATTGGCAAGAAGTACTGTATAACCGGAGGATACTTCGACACCTGGGGATAGGGCCCGCCCATTAGACTTGTATATAAATAGCTAGGCCACCATAGTATTAGTCAGGTCTTCTTGTTTTCATATTATTTTCCTAACTGTTCTTGTTCTACTCATCTTTGTAATAAATCGTATTGATCTCAACTCTTGCACATACAATTCATTGGTAACTCGGATCCGAGTATTGCTGACTTTAAGTTCGTTGATATTTCCGAACTCGAATCAAACGTAGGACGACAAATAGTCCGACTTGGGGGCCATAGCCAGTGACTTGGTAAAAAGTTACATTTCCAGATAACTCTGAAATATGAACGCGTCTGAAACAAGCGTCGGTATCGACAGCCCGATGGAGGACGGTGAAACCGTGTCCCAACCATTGAATGATTGGAACGATCTCGGGGTGAGTTGTCAATCAGAGGATCTGAACATATGTTTTCAAAATATCCTTGTACAACTAGACGACGCCCTTAGTAACCAAATCAGGCATTTGGCTTGTGTAAAACGGAGAAATATTCTTAGACGCAGTACGCGGTTCGCTACAGTGCGCGCTTGTTAAGGTGAATGAAAGTCTGGAAATAAGTGTGCCTGCCGCTGACACGACATTTTTTGATGAAATTCAAATGTCTCAGGCAGAGCTCCATGACTTTTTGCCCAGCGTTACTGCTCACAGCCGCATTCTTTGCGAAGTAGCCAAGAGTTTGGAGTGTGAACTTGACCAAGTCTCAGAAACAGTAAATAGAAAATGTGCAAAACTTTTAGAGTTGCAAAAAGAGAAAGACGAACAAGTCAAAGAAATAAAAGACCTCAAAGATTCAAACAATCTTTTGCAGGAGCAGGTCAGAAATATGGGAGGAAACACATCGGCAGCGATGGGGAGTCCCTATGTTCAACCTAATACAGGTGAGAAAGTTGGATAACTGGCATGCAGTTCGCAGCCATTACGCATGTCTCAAAGACAGAGAAGCTGATCATTTTATTCAGACTGGGCATCATTCAAGCCGAACGGTCAAATCAGCAAGATCGTCTCGAACGTCCTCTCCGGCATATTCCCAAGAATCGATCAGTGGTGAGACTTCTTCTGTTGCGTCATATAATAGTAGGACCAGGCCAGTCCGTAGTGATAGGGTGGATGATATGTTCACAGTTTTTCGTGAAGTTTTCAAGGCCCAGACGGTGGCAAATGTTCCTAAATATGACGGTAAAAATTCTCTAACGGATTTCCTGCGCGCATTAGAGGTTAAATTCCCTTCTGCTCTATGGACGGATTCCGATAAACGAGATATCCTTGTAAATCACTTAGAGGGAATAGCTCTATCTATTTACAAGGGGTTGCCACATGCGGTTCGGGAGGGAACCTATGATGAGATTGTCAGTGCCTTGAAGATGGCCCGTAGAAACCCTTGTGAGCGACTGAAAAATGTACGAGAGTGGGAACAGCTTTCAAAGAGACCAAGCGAATCGGTAGCCGAGTTCTGCTGTAGGATGGAAGACTTGTCCCGAAGGATACATCCTAGCTCTGAAATGGATTTCATAAGGGGGTCCAAATTGTACTCCTGCTTGCAACACTGGCAGAATTCGTATCACATGTTGGCTGCCCTAGATGTCCCAGATGGTAACGTTTACACAGAGGTTAAGCGGGTAGCCATGCGGTTGGAAAAACTGCAGGTTGATGCTATTCCGTCCTACGGCAGGCACCAGGGACGTTTTCAGAAAAGGGTCGTTGATCGGCAACCGATTGAACCCCAAAAAATTTTTCCAGCAAGTGGGGCTGGTGACCAGGCAGGAACCCGACCATTTGCCAAGCCCTTTTGCAAATGCAACATTTGCGGCAGGAAAGGCCATGTAGCAACGGATTGCAGGAGAAAAGAGAGACCCACAAACCACAGTTACCGGGAAAACGGTCCCACTGATGGATTTAATAGAGCGCGGAATAGCGCAGCAGGTAGGTAGCTCCCTCGTGACTGGAGCTAGACAGGTGGTGTAAATCGGTTCAAACAAAAGGGAAAGGATTAGAACCCCAACCCAGAGCTGTAGGTAAGCCAAGTACTTGCGAAGTCAAAATTTTTGGCATTACAGCAAAAGCGCTTGTGGATACAGGCTCGGTGATTTCGATTGTCCCGGTAGGTCTGCTCAAGCAAGTGCGAGAGCAAGGCGCAGATCTTGATGCCAATGCTTGCATCGTAGGTGATGGCAAGCAGCGAAAACTTTTTGACGCATCAGGGAATGCCATGAGTTTCCTTTCGGAAATAATTGCTGAAGTGATGGTAAAAGGAGCTGGTACAGCTTCTATTCATATGCACGTGCAACAAAGTAAGGACAATACTTTACTAATAGGTACGAATGCCTTACAAGAATTGGGAATATCCATAAAGTTATCACCGAATGTCCATGATAGGATGGGGGTGGCAGAAGTACATTCCGATACGGCCTATGCGGATAGCAGGGTAGTCGTACTGCCAGGCAAGGTTGCTACTGTGCAAATTCTGCAGCGAATTCCCAATGGACCATGCGTGTTCTGGTCGAAAAATCCTCGTATAGAATCGGGTGTATGCCAAGTTAGTCATGGCAAGGCCAAGCTATCAGTCATAAATCAAGGCTCTGAACCCTGGGTGATAGGTAGAGGCGAAGATCTTGGTAGTTGGTCAGCGGAAACTTGGGTTGACCCAAGGACAGCAGACATCCCAAGTGACATGATGGTCCTCCATCAGCCTGCTTTACTGAAAGATTCTGAAAGAATCCATGCCCTGGTAGACACACTGAATAGAAATCGGAGGGCTGGAAGCATGCCTGATGAACTTCGTGCAGTAATTGAAGAATACAGCGACGTATTCGCTATTTCGGATGCGGAGCTGACACAAAAACGGATTTGGTGAGCCATGATATTGAAGTGGGAGATCACTCACCAGTTCGACAGAAAACAAGGCCAGTGCCATACGGTCTAAGAACTAAGGTTGAATATGATGCTACGGGATCTCAAGGAAAGGAGAGTGATTGAGGATAGTCAATCCCCATGGGCGTCCCCTATAGTGTTAGTAGCGAAGAAGGATGGAACCATACGGTTATGTGTGGATGTAGTAGGAGGTTAATTAAAGAGAGAACGAAAAACGCGAGAGTTACCCTTGACCGCACTATTGAGCATGGCACTCCAGAATCTACAAGGCGCTCGGGGCCCTCCGGCGCGCCTTTACCTCGCTAGGACCTGGCTAGTGGCTACTGGTAGCCGGCTGCGTAGGGCGGAGCCAAATTAGCTGCCTTAACAACAACATTCAGGACCATTTTCCGCAATTTCGGTCTCTTAACTAAGTGTGGCTCACACGTCGCGTCCGCTCCAAAGTCCAGAGAGTTTGAATGGACAAGGGCGTGCTAGGTGATCTGCTAGGTCCGGAAGTGTCGGTCTATATAGACGACATCTTAATCGCCACAGACTCCCCTGAGAGAAACGTTGAGATCATAAGTAAGGTGCTCAAAGCTTTCAGAGAAGCGCACTTGAAGGTAAAACCTCAGAAATGATGGATGACGGAGACCTAGTGTTGAAGTTCTCGCCGAATTGTAGGATTAGATGAACTCGAGGCAGTCTTTCGTCCGTTCTCTTCAGATCATTCCTAACGAAAAGTTTTCCAGCATCTCATTGCCAACAAATCTGGTCCAGAGTCGCCGATTGATGACCTTGGAAGAAGTGTGATGTTCCTGTGGAACACTCCAATTTGCGCATGGAAGTTGCTATTCCCTCTTCGGCTCTAGCTTGGATATGGGAGCCGGCCGGTAGGCAAGGAAGCCGTCAAGGGCGAGCGGAGTTTTGAAACATCTCATCCCCAGCGTCCGATCCGGGTAGGTTCGTACGAATCGATGTTTCATTGGGCCAGTGGGACACTCACACCGGCCACGGCCTGCTGTGTTGTATGGTGCTAAGGAGGTAGTTCTTCTCCAGTTCAAAAACGGTCGTTTCATTTGTACAGTCCCGCAGAGTGTCACCCGGAGGCTCTCGGGAAATCACAGGGGAATCAGGACGTAAAGCTGGGTAAGGCCAGTCCCGATGAGGTTTTCGTATTCTAACGTAGATTCCATTGATCGTGAAATATCCTCGCACAGCACACCACGCAATTGCGCCGGTGCGCATTCTAACTTCTTGGATGTGTATTCTCTGAAGTAGAAGAAGAACAGGACACGTCGTGGATGAAAACGGAGTTAGAGCTGACCCGGAAAAGATAGTTCGTATCCAGAATTATGCACGTCCGCAGAATGTGGCCCAGCTGCGTACATTCCTGGGTATGGCAGGGTACTACAGGAAATTCGTGCTGCGTTTTGCCCAAATAGCTAAGCCCTTATATGAGCTAACAAGTTCAAGAAAGCTGTTTGGATGGTCAGAAGAGCATACCATAGCTTTTGAAACGCTAAAAAAGGCTTTGACCGAAGCCCCAGTTCTAGCACAGCCCAATCTAGAGAAAGCAAGGGACGGATCTCGACCCTTTGTTATTTATACGGATGCTAGTACAGTAGGTATAGGAGCGGTTTTAGCGCAAGAAGGTGATGATGGCCTGCTGCATCCGCTATTTTTCACATCCAAACATTTGTCTGGAGCTGAGAAAAATTATCATGTGACCGACCAGGAAGCGTTGGCATTGATTTTCAGCTTGAAAAAGTTCCACTATTTTATTTACGGGATTCGTACCATAGTCAGGACTGATCATGCAGCGCTCACATCGCTCTTCAAACGAACAAATGTTTCTCCTAGAGTTTTGAGATGGGCACTGGAAGTTCAGCGTTATGATCTGACCATCGAATTTGTGAAGGGGACAGCAAATGTGGTTGCGGACGCGCTATCCAGGGGACTCCCGCAGCAAATAACTAATGAGCAAGGATACGCAGAAGACGAAAAAGTAGTTTGCGCTGTTCAAGAAAATGAATGGCTCTTGGAACTGCGCCAGGACCCTGACTTTGAAGGACTGATAAAGTCAGTCGAGAGTGGTGAAATTGAGGAAGTGAGGCTTCCTAGGCATAGCAAAGCTCTTAGCACAGCTGATTTTGTTTTGCAGGACGGAGAATTGAGCCTTATAAATGAAAACGGGACTTTAGTTGCCGTAGTTCCGCGCTCACAAAGGCAAGCGATTTTTGACGAGTCTCACTCTGGTATTCTCGGTGGTCACTTTAATGCCAAAAAGATGTTCTTGCAAATGAGAAAGTATATTTTTTGGCCTGGGATGTACCAAGATTTGGTTAGGTGGTGTCATGGCTGTCAAAAATGCTTTTTGACGAACAATAGGGCAGAAAACGTGCCACCGTTACGCCCAATTGAAGTCACAAGACCGCTCCAGATAGTAGGTGTAGACCTTCTTGAAATGGGGTTAACAACGAGAGGAAACCGCTATATAGTGACAATTATCGATCACTTTACCAAATACTTGGGAGCCTACCCAGTAGCAGATAAAAAGGCGGAAACGGTGGCGGAAGCCATTTTTAGCAATTGGGTTTGTGGTGCCGGAAGATGGCCCGAAATGCTTCTTTCTGACCGTGGAGGTGAATTCGAAAACGAGATTGTAACCGCTCTTTGCCAGGTTATGGGAATCGAGCAAAAGTTTACAAAAGGTTACTGCCCTCGAGAGAATGGGTTGACGGAAAGGGTCAACGGTACCATTGTCAGAATGCTCAAAAAGAAGACCGAGGTAGCAGCGGAATGGGATAGAATTCTGCCCACAGCGGTATATGCTTATAACGCTTCCCCGCACGGTGCGACAGGAGAAAGCCCTCATTTTTTGTTGTACGGGCATGACCCTATATATCCTTCAATGTTGATTCCCTCCAAACATCTATCACCTTATATCGTGGATTACGATAAGTATAAAACAGAACTGCTCTGCGGACTGAAATTGGCACGAGAATGCATAAATGAAAACTCTAAGGATTATCGCGAAAGATGAAGCTAGCTTACGATAAGAGGTGTAAAACAGCCAAATCCACTGTATTTTAAGGACTGGGGACAGAGTCTATATGAAGCTCCCTGCGGAGAAAAGAAAGTCGCGGCACCCTAAATTAGTTATGGACTGGTCCGGTCCTTTTCGAGTAATTGAAGCAAGTGCTAATTCCGCATTAGTAACTTTGATTGGAGAAAATAAGGAACCGGTTCGGGTCCAATTCGATCATTTAGTTAAGGTGCCTGAAGAACTAGGCGACAACGTAATCGTTGGAGCCACAGCACGCACCACGCGTGGTAGAAGGAAAAACGTTTTAGAGATGAGTAGGATTTTGTCCATTAATAACTTTGATTTCAGCTCTACGCTCTCGTCGTCAAACAACGTAAGAGATGTCGACTTCCAATGCCCTGGTGAGATCGAGGTCAATGGTCAACGTATGGCATGCGCAGTGAAAGTACCAATCGGAGAACTCCTCCCGAACACGCCATTGCCTTCATGTTCCTTTGAGTCGTTGTTTGAACTTGCCCGTATGACTGCTGTATTGACGCAGTCGCACATTCCTGAGAACTTTCGAGTAGCCCGACTACTAGACAAATCTTACGATCTTATTACCCCATCATCCTTGGGATTTTACCAAAACCCCGTATAGGGGGGCGGTAGCACAGTTAGGTTTCCTCGACACGAATTTTCACCTGCTTAGCGTCAAGTCGCGGAAACTAGATAAAAAAGTACAAGCGGTGAAAAGCCCGGACATTCGTGAAACAGGGGGCCTGCTATTTCATATGTCACGATGAGGTGCCTTGCTTGTGGATGACTATTTGGTGGTACGTCCTTTGTAGGTCTGGGTTCTGCTTGTGGACAAGACTCTAGAATACTTCTCCTTATACTTTCCACTTCAAGGCACTTCAACCTCCACGTTGAGCAAAACTCAACACCACATAGCCCAACTTCCTCTAGTTCCATTTGGCCGTCATTTGTTCGTTCAGTTCCATGGCTCCAACTACAGGTATGGCTCAGATACATATATGCAGTGTAATGGGGCCGACAACATTAAAAGCATTTTGTTATCGTGGGCGGAAGTGGTGTAGTGGCAAGTGGCACGCTTACCACGCGAGCGGTCCGGGGATCAAATCCTGGGTCGTGAGTCGCCCGGGCCAACCAAGCCTTCCATCCCTCCGGGGTCGGTTAATTGGTACCAGACTTGTCTGGGAGGATAAAAACACTGACTTGTACATCGGCTGGCCCCGTCGTTTGTCATTGTCTGCGGCTTCATCGGTTCCATCGTCGCTTTTGTTAAGGCAGGTGTCAGAGTCCGCGACTAGTCGCGTGAATAGCGCGACTGATTACAGAAATCACAAGTGCCCCAATCAATAGTACGAGGTGTTATCTAATCACCTATTTTTGCTTAATGGTGATGGTAGACTGACGCGGTTATGATTTGGATTATTCTTTCATATTCTGATGTCCTCGAATAGTTCAATAAGAATTGCGGTTTTTGTATCGCGGATCTGCGCGTGAGGGCAGACAGTGGTCAACCCTGCGTTGCGCATTCGCAACGGCACGTTGAGAGATCCTCAACGCACGCTGTATGGGCGGAGACGCAGACGGCTCGAGCATGCGAGTGTGAATGTTCGCGCGAGAGAACGTGTCTAATCGGGCGAAACTGCGCAACGTGGCCGTTGAAAACTGCGCAACGCAGGGTTGACTCTGCCAGACTCACGCCAGCCTGGCAGAAGCGGGTTGGGAGAGGGTCAAGCGACACAGTAGAGGAAATTTGGTAAATACACCTCAAGAATTACAAAAGTGAAAAAGTCAAAGAATGATCATTATTGATGAGTCCTACCAAACGAGCAAACGAGAAAAGGAGCAAAAAACGACAAACTAGTCACTAAAAATGGCATACTATGACAACATCTCTTCTTTATTTATTTCCTCCACAAGACTTACCAAATTTTAGTACTACACAGATAGTGTATGGTTCTCAATTTACACGTCCCTCTTTGTTGGAAAGAAGCCTTGTAATCGCACTAATCGCCCTTCATGGCCTACTGTCACCAGAGGTGATCCCATAAAACGACTTATCTTGTGAGCGTATTGGAGCGCTTTCAGGTTCAATT